GCGGTTCATGTCATATTATTTGCCGAAGAGGAGCATTAAGATAGTATCCGGATTTTGCTAAAGCGACTCATTGCCCAGCCCTACTTCGCGTCTGCGCATGGAGGTGTCGGAGCGCCGGCAGACGGCCAACACCTTCTTATACCCGGTGCACATTCTCAGTCAAATTCAATTGGTTGAGTATCTTGTGACCCGCTATTTCCGGGATGCTTTGATGGTCGAAGCAGGACTTTTGTGCTGTTGAAGCTAGAGATGTGAGCAGAGTAAGTCTGATTCCCCGTTTGGAATTCTCTGTTGAAGTCCACCCTTAGGCGCTCATATGACCTTGCGATGTTGCGAGTGTCGTAAAACCTTCTTAAAACTAAGTAAACTAAAAGCAGGGAGGAGGGAGTAAAAAGTACGGTTTTGGCACAGTTCGACCTAATTCGAATACATTCGATGGATATTTCCAGAACTGAACGCACATGATTTTCAAGGTCGAGAGTCGAATTGGTCGCATTGTGCCCAAATGTTAGCTTTTCCCCATTCTTGGAAGAAAATCTGTAGGTGGTTGGCGGATGCTCTGGTGCGATTTGCTCCCTCATTTAGCTGTCAAACATCTCCTCTCCTCCTCCTTTTTTATGTGTGTTACTCTCTTGTTACTTCTCTATTCTTCGGCACTTATATGACCTAATCATATTGCTTGTGACTTAAAACGCTTACTAAAAATTAAAACAAAGTTCGAAGGAAATGTGGCCGGCCCCGGCTTAGTTAGACCGAATTCTATTGACAGCACGCACTGGGTATTATACACATGCACGTACGTTCTGGTTAGATCGAGTACCTCTGTACTGAGATTCTCTTGTGGGTCAAGCCAACTTGTTGTAGGAAGTAGGATTCATAGATGAGGTGAAAGGGGGGTGGGTGGATGGGTTGTGATAGAGGTGAGCAGGTATCTTTGAGAGATTTGGGTATGTTTATATATATGTGTGTAAACATGTGGGCTTGTTTGCGTGTTTATGGAGGGAGAGAATGAGAGAGAGAGAGAGAGAGAGAGAGAGAGAGAGAGAGAGAGAGAGAGAGAGAGAGAGAGAGAGAGAGAGAGAGGGTATGTTTATATTATCAGTGG